CGCCTGGGTTCAAACCCTGGTCAAAGCAACATCGCAAAAAATATAGAAAAAGGTTTTTTCTTAACAGCGGTCGTCCCTCGGCAGGCAATGGCAAACCTCCGAGTGTATTTCTGCCATGAAAAACAGCTCCTCTCCGCTTTGTGTGACAACATCAAGGCGCACGCCACAAATCGGAGGAGAAGCTCGGCCAAACACTAACAAATGTGTAAGCGCCAATCTATTATTATTATCCATTTTCGGTTATTTAGTGTACAAAATAAACACCAATTAAATGAGTTTGTACAACATGGCCATTAATGTAGCGATAAGTTGTACAACTTGCCAGAAAATCAAAAATTTTTGATCTTTCATACAACCAAGACATAAATTCATTCAACAGGCCCACAAACGGTGCAATCTAGAGCAAAATAACACCAAGTTGAACCAACGGTCGCTACGTTTATGGCTTTCTTTAAGAAACATCGGGCGAAAATTTCAACTGCTCCTGTAACACTACCTTTTATAAGTTGGCCTTGCTATCATCCTCACATATGTTCATCAGAGTATACCAACGAAGGACGAGTTAATACAAGGTATTCTAGAAAATTACACGCACAATGACAAACATGAACAAATCGCACACCGTCTTCAAAAGAGTCACAACTCAAAATAATACGTTCGTCAGAAAATGCGAAAAACTATTTCGTAGCACATGCTAATCATATGGGCAAAGGCGACGTTACCTTAGGTTTTTTTAACAAATTATAACAAAAATTTGATCCAGCTATTGCTGAAAGGTAAATAAAAGCTCTGCGTGCATTTTTAGCGCTTAATCTCAAAAATTCCAAATTTTGAGCTGTGACTCTTTTGAAGACGGTGTGCGAAATGTGCAAATGTACGAGGCAAAACAAGTACCTTCTAAAATTTCAGCTTATTTGAACAAGATTTAGAGGTCGCTCAACGCTGTTGTTTGTTTTCCGGAAACTACACATTTTAGATGCATCTTTATTAACAAATAGGTATATTTTCATCAAATCTTGTCGGATTTCGTTGAAATTTCGTAGGTAGGTTCCAAAATATTAGCTCATTGGAACTCAGTTTATATAAGTTCGATAAATTAGTTTTAAACACATTTATTAATTAGTTAGTAACTAAGTTTTGTCTTATAAAAAATTAATATTTGCATTATTTTTTTTTGTTCCTTAGCCACTGAGCGTATGCTTAATACACCTAAGATCACATTGTATTTCATATAATTAGTGGACCTCATCAATTAATATTATTAAACATCAAATAAAAAAAATAACCAGATAAATATCACTCATATGCCATGCTGAATTCAAGTATTTTCCCAGTCATTGCAAATATTCATAGTATATTAATATTTTGGTGCTTACACCTTTGCTAAGTGTTTGGCAAAGCTTCTCCTCCAATTTGTGGTGTGTGACTTATATTATTATTGGAACTCAGCTAATATTTTGGAACCTACCTACGAAACTTCAACGAAATCCGACAAGATTTGATGCTAATATACCTATTTGTTAATAAAGATGCATCTAAAATCTGTAGTTTCCGGCAAACAAACAACAGCGTTGAGCGACCTCTAAATCTTGTTCAAATAAGATGACATTTTAGAAGGTACTTGTTATCTTCAAGAATCCGAACGTTCTCAGTCGAAATTCAAAAAAGTTCCAATTTTAAATCGCCCTAATGTACATACACAAATATATGTACATACAGAAACATATGTAAGTAAACAAACATATGTACATACGTACAAATATATATACAGTATATTTTGCTTTGCTGCCTTTATGCTTAAGTGCACATTTAAGATACCTACCCTAAAATGCGCACTAGCGGCATTATTTTTAACATTTATAAGGAAACTCCTCCGATAGATGCATTCAACATACCTGCACATTGGCGATACCTGCCTTAAAAATTGTGCTACTATTATTAACTATCAAAGAAAGTATTAGGTTTACCTGCACTGGCCCTACAATTACCTAATTTTACAAGCTTTTATTTACTTTGCTCATCTCGCAGAACAACGAAAATGGCTACCAATTAACGTAGTTATATAGATAATTAGATACCATTCGGTAAAAATTTCCCTTGCAGTAATTTCCACGTGGTAAGTGCTCCTCCATTATTTGGTTTCATAGGGATTCGGATACCTTCCTCATTGAAGTAGTAAAGAAAATTCGCTTAACCCTGACTCTGACACAAATTTTATTCTTCGAATACTGACCCTATTTACATTTGTAAATATATTTATTTTCATACATTTTGCATGGAAATATTTTTTGCGCGTTATGTTTTAATTGTTGTTGTTGCGTTTTTTGCATGGATATATATTTTGTGCGTTATCTACATATGTTTTAATTGTTGTTGTTGCGTTTGTTCTTTGCATTTGAGAGTACCGTTATATTTGTTTTCACTTGTTGTACGCTGATCTCTGTTCTTTAGTTATTTGTAGTCTTTCGTGGTGTAAACTTCTGTGAATTGTGAACAATTGACTAATCTAAATGGAAAATAGTAATAAAAAGTTTAAAGTTTTGAGTGTTTCATCGGTGGCCCGGTAAGAAAAATATGAAATACATACATATGTATGTATATAGTTTTATGTTTTTTTAACTTATATGGCCTTGATACTATAGGCTTCCGTATGATATGCAAATGAAGTATTTTGAAAACCTTGTTGAGGGCATTGAGTCAGATGATGAAGAACTAACAGCAGAAGCTACTTCGAGCCGTGTAAACGATGATGGTGATATGTCCATATTACTTCCAAACATTGATGATGATGCCTCCGATATTGAAACCGAGGAATATCCCGTAGAAATGGGACACGGAGGTGACTCAGACATTGAGGATGAGATCGAAGAAGAAGCTGATGTTCCAGAGAACCCAGAAGAGGACTTCTTCCTTGCGAAAGACGGAACAAAATGGAGCAAAACACCACCCGGTTTGCAACGCATCCGACAGCAAAACATATTTCGTGAAAGTCGTTTTATTGGCCCCAATCCGAATACAATGCACTTGAATATTATTGATACTTTTTTGAATATCATGCATCCTACAATTCAAACAATTATTTGTAGAAATACTAATAGAAAATTCAAAGCTGAGTACCAAAAGCTGGAACGTGGTCGAAATGTGGAAAAAAAACACAAAGTAAGTAAAAGTAATATTTCCTGTGATCTTGCTTCTAATATAACCTTCCCAAAACTCTTCACAAAATATGATTGGGTGGATATTACTGAGGAAGAACTCTGTGCATACTTTGGCATACTAATAGCAATGGGTAGTCATAACTCGGACTACGTGATACTTGAGTCGCTTTGGCAAACAAATTCATTTCCTTTGTACCGAGCAACTATGTCCCTAAAACGCTTCTCAGATATTTCAAGGTTTATTCGCTTTGATCAGCAAGCTACAAGGGAAAAAAGATGCGCAACTGACAAAGCAGCTCCAATATCAGAAATATTTGAAATGCTAAATGCTAATTTGCGTCAAAACTACAGACCTCGGGAAAACATCACTGTCGATGAACAGCTTTTTCCTTTTAGAGGACGTACCAAGTTTACGCAGTATATTCCGTCGAAACCTGCAAAATATGGTATAAAGCTGTGGTGGGTATGCGATGCAAAATCCTACTATCCCCTAACTGGGCAAATATATACAGGCAAATCAGGCAGCGAAAGAGAGAAGAATCAAGGAGAGCGAGTCGTAAAAGATCTAGTTGAACAGTATAAAAACACCGGACGAAATGTGACATGCGATAATTTCTCCACAAGTCTTTCATTGGCAGATGCACTCACAAAATGGCGACTATCTATAGTTGGAACGATGAAAAAGAATAAAACATGTTTGCCCTCAGAGTTCAAATCCTCACCGCAACGAGCAGAACATTCAACAATATTTGGCTATGGAGAAGACAAAACAATTTGTTCTTATGTACCAAAAAAAAAAACAAGGCAGTCGTTTTACTTTCAACAATGCCATGTGACAACACAATTTCCGACGTAAAACAAAAACCGAATATAATATTATTTTACAATAATACCAAAGGTGGAGTAGATGTAATGGATCATATGTTGGGGCAATATACCACGAAACGCAAAACAAATCGTTGGCCGCTTGCTGTTTTTTATAATATGATCGACATATCTGCTCTTGCTGCCTATATAGTATATTCGGAAAATAATCCGTCACGTTTTACATGTAGAAAAGGTAATTATATTTACATATTTGCTGAGAGCAAAGTTGGATTATGATTAATTTTATTTATTTTTTTTTTCGCTAATAGGTGGACGCCGATTGTTTCTAGAAGAATTGGCGGAACAATTGTGTATGCCAACGATATTGAAGAGATCAAGCATTCCAAGGGTTGTCTCATATTTTCCAACAAAAAATGCAATTGAATGCATAATTGGTAAGCCAATTCATTCCTTGAAAAGCTCCACATCTGTGGATTTTATTCCAGATGAAGATGATCGCGGACATTCAACCATAAAAGGTGCTTGCTATATGTGCTATCACGAAGAAAGTAAGAGAAAACGCTCAACACGGAAAATATGTGTTCAGTGTAAGAAGCCAATTTGTGTCGAGCATAGCAAAACTCAAACGAAATGTAATGGTTTTGTAAAGACTGATTAATATTTTCAAAGAAAATCTACAATAAAAACATGAATTATCCCCAAATAAACCCACCAATTTAATTTATTTACAAATGTAAATAGGGTCAGATAATGAAGAAAAAGTCAAAAATTTACTAAAAATAACGGTATATTATAAAATTTTTTGAAATCATATTTTTTTTCAGAAAGAGCATACAAAATAAGCCACTGAGTGTAAATTATATTTAAATCGTGCCAAAAACATCAAATTTGTAGCTATTTAAAAAATGAAATATTTACATATGTAAATAGGGTCAGTGTTAGGGTTAAGTGCTTTTTTCGGTTAAGTGCACAAGTTTTTCGTGCAAAGGATGGGCAGCTAAACAAAATATACTGTACAACCATTCAAACATATGTACATACATGAAAATATTGCTGTCCATAAGTACATACATATGCCCATCAGTACATCAACGAAGCCCGTTTGCTTAATCATAAATATATCCATACAAACATATGTACATATGTACGAATGGATGTAGTTACGCGTGGTAGCGGCAGAGCTGAAATGCGCAATGATTTCGTTCATACATACATATATATGTATACATACATACGTACATTGAAACATACATATATACATATGTAGGTACTCGTACCCGTCATCCGTCGCTTTATTTCTTTTTTCCCCTTCCCTATACTACCATATCTTCCTTCTCACTCATGTAACGTTTTCAGTTTTAAAAATTTCACTCTCCATTTTTTCGATACCGCTGCCTAAGAAGTTTCACTTCAAAAATTATCGATTAACAAATCAGCTAATAAATTAAGTAAATGAAAGAACTCCACGGTCATAATTGTGTTTTAAAATAGTCAGAAGGATAATCACTTCACTTTTCCTCCTAAATCACTCCAAAATTAGCAAATGACAGTACAAATATACATATGTAATTAGAGTGAGAACACGGTACAGCATTTTGCATATTTTCGTTTCAGTTCGCAAGCATTGTTTACTTTTTTAATAACAAAAAAAAGAAACAACTTATGGTTGAGAAAGGTTAGTGCTTTTTGAATAATTTACTTAAATATTACCTATATTTTACTAGTGTTTTGAAGGTAAAAACTGGCGATTTAGTGCGTTTTGGACCGAGTTATTGCTCTTACAAAGGAACTGCAGCCCATAAAAGTTTTCTGTCAATAACTTTAAAATGGTTAACAGTGTTAACCTTCCGCCATCGGAATATGATTATGCGGATCGAATTGCGTCAATAGGTACCCCTCCTGACAACTTTGGATGCAATTGTACGAAATATTTTAGATTAGCACAGTGGTCGAAAATTTATAGCCGCACCATATCGTCAGAAAA